TGAAAAAGGACCATGTGGCATCTGATAATCTGTGCAGTAGTTTACAGGATCATCAAGGTTGGAAGAGACTCTTAAGATCATCAAGTCCAACCATTAACCTGTCATTGCTGGAACACCTAAACCAGCTCCTCCAGCACCAGATACCTCTCAAACACCGCCAGCGATGGTGACTCTACCACCTCCCTGGGCAAACCTACTCCAATACCTGTTTACTAGAGGTGGTTGAGCTCTGAAGTGAGGAGAACAGTGTATGGGACTCAAGATAAAAGCAAGAGGAGTTTGAAGTCAAGACCAAAGTGCTGAGGCAGAAGAGAAAAGCAAGAGGAGCTTGAAGTCAAGACCAAAGTGCTGAGGCACTGGCACAGGGTGTCCAGAGCAGCTGTGGCTGCTCCATCCCTGGGAGTGTTCCAGGCCAGGCTGGATGGGGCTTGGAGCAGCCTGGGCTGGTGGGAGGTGTCCCTGGGGGGTGGAACTAGATGATCTTGCAGGTCCCTCCCAAGCCAACCAGTTTGTGACAGCTGCCAGCTCTGAGACCCTCTCTGCTCTGACTGCCTCTCCCAACCCACAGCACTCAGCAGATATCGACCTGCCATCAAAAATTACTCACGCAGCTTTACCTTGCTCAAAGTCCCTGACACAAACCAAAAGCAGAGATTTCACAGCCCAAGCCTGACTTTCAACACCTTTCATCTCCCTGAGAAGTGACAAGAATTAAGTGGGAGATATAAAACCCCCCAAACCCTTAAGTCTTCTCCAGAAGCGACAGAGATGCCCTGATCCTTCTTCACAGCCCTGGCCGAGGTCAGCCTTTAATAAGCAGCAACAGATCTCCTCAGACACCAGAAAGGGATCAAAAAACATGTTTCACAACCCCCAAACAAAGCCACCTGGGTGGGAGAAGGAGGACTAACCCCACCAAGCAGTGCAGACCTGTTGCTGCAGATGAAATGCAAACTGTGCTCTCTCCCCAGCGCTGGGACGAGGCAAAGCTCTGTGCACAGCAAGGAAGGCACTGACAAAAGCACAGGGATCCTCCTGCCTCCTTTTTTAGGCATCTCCCTCTGAATTTGTTGCAGCTTTCATAACAATCTCCAAGGCAAAATCAAGAAACAAATTGTTTTCTGCCACATAATCCCCCTTTGCTGTCAAGAGCCTGACCCTGGTTTGATAATCTCATTTCCCCAGAATCAAACCGCTGGAAATTTAAGCTTCCTAGAGTGTTAATTGCAGCCCTGCTCCATTGCTAATCAAAAAATTGGATGTTTTGCATGAAAATGCCGCTCTAATTAATTCTCAGTCATAAAGCAGCCTGGTTTTAATAACCCCTCCTTGATTGGCTAAGCCTTTGAAGAGAACGTGTGGCTAATCCGCTACCCCAGGACCAGCACACGCCGAGGAAATCACAAGTGGCCTTACAAGGGCTGAAGGAGCTGATTGCATTAATGCTGCCAAAGCACCACAAAAAAAAAAACCAAAAAAATAAGCCATTCTCTGCCCTCTCCTCAGGCTCGAAGGAAACTGTGATCCTGAGCAGACAAAAGCAGCTCGTGACAGGAGATTGGAGACATCAAATTGCTTCCCCCTCCCAGGCCTGAGTGAGGGGCTGATTCTTCAGCTGGTTTATTCCTCATCCCTTCTTTAAAGAGGATTTTTAACCACCACTGTCCACTTGTCACAACGTCTCCTTGAACCAGACGTGGATTCTATTGCCTCTCCCCCCTACCCAGCACCTCTGACTGACAACACATTATCATACCCATCTCTAAAAGTTAACCGAATTCGCATTAGCCCAAACGTCAGGGCTGGTTTGTGTCAGTGCTGAGCACAGCTGCTCCCCCCAGCAGCCCCTTGGTGAATCCAAATGGAACAAGGCACCTACAAATAACTGCCTTTTCCCTGGACTTGGCCTTACATTGTGCCCTTGTCATATCACATCCCATTTGCCTTGGCTGCTGCTTCTTGGCATCAAAATCTTAATTAGCAGAGTTTCCATGGGAGTTTTGAATTACGTAAGATCCTGTGGTAAGACATTTTTCAGGCTTGGAGTGAGACTAGGTGAGCAGCAAATTGGGGAGGAACACAAACCCACTCCCCAAGGTGAAATGTGTATCGTTGGGGTGTTCAGGGCTTTGCACTTATCACCTGCTCAACATGAAAAAAATCAGTTTCTAACTTATAGGAAATAAGGCTAAAAAAATATTCATTTTCTATTGTCTCATTAGAGCAGAGCTTTGTTTCACAGCCCAATTTGCCATCCCTTGCCAGAGATGAGCACCCTGGGCTGGGGGAGGTGTCCCTGCCCATGGCAGGGGGTGGAACTAGATGAGCTTTAAGGTCCTTCCAATCCAAACCATCCCGGGATTCTGTAACATAATACACCTTTAATTCTGTACTTCTCCTACCAATCCCCTGGACATGCTGGAGCATCAAAACCTGCAGACATCAGGTCATTCAGAGCCCCAAGAGTTACACCTGAGCTGTTCAAAATCCAAACTTCTAGTAAGATCCACTGCAGCCCAGGAGACAAACACACACTCAATATTGAGACATCTCACATGTTCTGTATATAGCTAATCAGAGAAGAATAAATGGTTTGGGTTGGAAGGATCTTAAACATCATCCCATCCCACACCTGCCCTGGGCAGGGACACCTCCCATCAGCCCAGGCTGCTCCAAGCCCCATCCAACCTGGCCTGGAACACTCCCAGGGATGGAGCAGCCACAGCTGCTCTGGACAACCTGTGCCACTGCCTCAGCACCTCCCAGCCAGGAATTGCTTCCCAATATCACATCTAGTCAGTCTGAAGCCATTCCCTGTGTCCTGTCCCTCCAGGCCTTGTCCCAAGTCCCTCTCAGCTCCCCTGGAGCCCCTTGAGGCACTGGAAGGGGCTCTAAGGTGCAGGCTGAACAGCCCCAGCTCTCTCTACACTCTGTTAGTCTAGAAGGAGATATTACACCTTTGTTCTCTCCCTCGTTTTTTTATTGACACTTCTCAAAGAACTTGTGTGCCCAACTTGAAGGGAAAAAAACCCATGGCCTGAGTCTTCTTTCTCCAATTCCAGCAGAAGGAGAAGACAGCAGAATTCCACCTCTGAGTCTCCTGCAGCAGGTCCCTTTCTCCCCCCGAGGGACAATGTGTGCCTCACTCACTGCTCCATTTCAGAGCAAATCAAAGAGGCTAATGCCAGAGCATCACTCTGATCTTCACACATTTTAAGGCTATTTAAATTAAATTCTTATTTCAAATAAGTTAGCGTGAGCCAAACTTTTATAAATTCCTTTCTTTTCATGCATATGTTTCTTTGAAGATCTTTTCAGGAAAAAAGATCTCCTAACAAGTCACCCTCCCCCTGCTGCCAGTGAAAAATCATCCCTGTGGATAAGGCTGAAGCCAGAAGTGTCACATGTCTGCTTGCCACTAACCTGATTGAACAATTAAATTGTGTTTCTCTTTAAAAGGGATGAAAAAAAAAAACCTTAAAAAAATCCAAATGCAGATCTTGCTGTGGTCTGGGATTCAGGAAGATTAATGAGCTACCTAAATGGAACAGCAGCTTATAATAGAATGAGAGGTTACTACATTTTTAACATAAAGTTCAAAGGGAAACTTTTCTTGATGCTTCAACCGCAAAGACTCTCAGCAAAGTCATCTCATCTATTGTCCCTATTGACTCCCTACATTGACTTTTTGTCACCTATTGCATCATGTTCAAGCTCTTCCAATTCAGCCAGAAAGGGCAATAGAATCTTGGCCCTATCCACACTAATTCCTGTAGTTTGTCCTTTACTTCTTTGTCAGCTCTCAGGTTTTGTTCTTCCCGGCCTCACACTCCGCAGCTGGGAGCCTGCTCAGCTCTTCTGCATCCTCCTCTCCTGGACACACTCCCAAATGTTTCCTCAAGGTTTGTCTTCCATCAGTAAGGAGTCACTGCTCCATGAAATCTGGCTGTGCCCATTGGAAATGAGTTCTGAACAGGAAAGAAGCTATTTAACAACAAATTCTCAGTTCAGTCTAACAGCAATAACCAGAAAAACACCCAAATCATGGAATCACAGAATGGTTTGGGTTGGAAGGGACCTGAAAGATCACCTTGTTCCACCTCTGCCATGGGCAGGGAGCCCTTGCACCAGCCCAGGCTGCGGCAAGCCCCATCCAGCCTGGCCTAGAACACTCCCAGGGATGGAGCAGCCACAGCTGCTCTGGACAACCTGTGCCAGTGTCTCACTACCCTGCAGCCAGGAATTCCTTCCCAATATCCCATCTGGCCCTGCCCTTTACCAGTTTGAAGCCATTCCCTGTGTCCTGTCACTTCAGGCCCTTGCACACAGTCAAAGGTACCTAGAAGAGGACACAGACGTGGATTGCAGCAATTCTGTTCTCTACTGTGTTTTTAGAGCAACGTGGACAACTGGTCAGGTCAGGATGGGACAACTGGGAAAAACAGAAGGCACCAGGGCTCAGACTGAAGAGACCTGGAGCTTTGGAGGCAACTGTCAAGGCTCCCTGATGGCCGTATCACTGCACCAAACTCTGCTCTCAACAGCTGAAAAATATTTGGGCGCTGGTACAAAAAACTGATGGTGATAGAACAGCCTGCAATTTACAACATCCCACTGGGAGACTTCTCTCAGCTACTCCTGGGCCCAAGAGCATGTGACAGTTTTGAAGGTGAGAATTGGAGACTCCAAAGGTAAAGAGCTGCAAGCTCAACACCTTCCAGGTGTGTGTAGAAGGTGAGATCATCATTTACATGACAGGTATCTTCACTGTACTTCATTTCTACACACTGTCATCTTCAGCACAGCTGAAGATGCAGAGGGAGTAAGGACAAATCCTGATGCTTCTCAATCCAGTATGAAACAAGAGTTTAAAACTGGAGAGATTTGCATGGCAAAGCAGAGAGGGATCAATCCCCTGACGGATTGGTCCATAGCATGGACAGGATGTCCAAGTTCCTGCAAAGAGAACTCTCCAACCAACACATTATATCTTTCCATACCTTGAAGTTCTCCACTTCTGCTGTACAGCTCCCTCCTCTGCTCCCTCAGGTAGGCACTCATGCTGATGGCATGGGAGGAGGACTCAAACCTGGAATTGCAGAGAAAGAAATCAATCCAGGCAGTCAGCAGCCCCAGGAGCATCTTGTGAGCACCAGGCAGCTCAAAACTGTATAAAAATTAAAAGCTCACATTCTCCTGGAATTAGGAACCAATCGATTACTATTTACTGTGTGGCTCTACCAGTCCACAAGGACCAACCCGAGAGGCAGAGACAAACATTTTTCCAACTGCTGTTGCCCCATAAATACAGTCTTTGCTACTCATATGAAAGGCCACAGAGTGGGCACTGATCTGACACCTCAGGGACACAGGACAGCTCTGGATTACCAAGCTGAGAGTCCCTGGGATCACAAGTGCCCCATGGCCAAAGGCCTCGAGCCTGAGCTCAGCTCTGGGGACATCCCACAGGGCCAAGAGCTGTCACCCTGAGCAGGCACTGCCCAGCAAACACCAGTCTTGGCTGTGCCTGGGCTGGGCACTGGGAACCAGGGAGAAAGGAGCACCTACTCATAGAATCAGACAGGTTGGAAAAGACCTCCAAGATCATCAAGTCCAACCCTACCGTGGTTACTAGACCATGGCACTAAGTGCCACATCCAGTCCTTCCCTGAACACCTCTAGAGATGGTGACTCTACCACCTCCCTGGGCAGCACATTCCAATGCCTGACAGCCCTTTCCATGGAGAAATTCCTTCTGAAGTCTGAACCTCCCCTGGCACAGCTTGAGGTGTTTCCCCATGTCCTGTCCCTTGTTCTCCTGGCAGGAGCTGCAGAGAGCAGAAGGTTCCCCTGAGCCTCCTTTTCTCCAGGCTGAGCCTCCACAGCTCCCTCAGCCTCTCCTGCTGCTCCAGCCCCTTCCCAGCTCCATTCCCATCCCTGGATATCTCCAGTCCCTCAAAATGTATCAGGTGTTCAGCACCTGCTTGTACAGTTCACTCCTTTCCTACCCAATGCCCAATTTCCCTCTTGCAAACCTGATCTGCAGAGACATGGCAGGTTTATCATGGCATGAATTACCCAAATTCCCAATGTTCCCTTTACCTGAAGCTTCTTTTTCAAAGCAACATTTCAAGAAAATGATCATTTCTTTAGTTACACCTATTTTAAAGACAGGGAAACAACGATTCAAAGGCTCTTCCAAACTCCAACTACTACAAGATACAACTGAGTTTTAATCCTTCCCATTATTGCTAGAAAACACAACCAGAAGTACTAACAGAATTAGCTCACAGCTCTCACAGGACACAGCACAAACACCTGCATCCATCTGGGAGCAGAGCAGGAGCCCTGCCCTAAGAGACTCCTGAAGGGAGGCATGAAAAGCAGCTATGCTGACAAGTGGAAGCTCCTCTGATTTGGGCAGACCTAATGGAGAGGCAAGAAAAAGAGCTGGGAAACCTGGCACAGAGAGCACCGACGATGGGAGAGGAGACAAGAAAAACACTCCATCAAACAGAGACAAACCTCAGTGGACTGAGAAATTCCATTTCAGGGGAGATTTCCAGAGATATGGTGACAGCTGACAGGAGACAGATAACCAAATAAGAGCTGCCAGTAAGTGCTGCTGTCAGTGTGGTGAGTCGGTGACAGGACAGCGAGTGGGGACAGACACGTTGCTCCCACGAGGTTATGCACCTTCACTTTAAACAATTACACCCTCCTCACTCTGCTGACAAACTAATACACAGCCTCAACCTGCTGCAGGTGATACACAGCAGCTTTGCTCCTCACATTTACATGGTCCATTACACCCGGGAACAGGCACAATACGAGAAGGGAAGATGCTCTGGTTTGCTTCAATGTACATCTGCAACTTAGAGTGCAATTCTCAACACAAACAGCCATGGGAGTGGTGAAAAAGGGTGGGGGTAATAACCATGGGCTGACAGGGGCAGGAGGCACCTCTGAAATCCTCCAGGCAACACTTAACCTTGTAATAACAGGTTACAGGACAGCTTGTGCTGCGAGGGGCAAAGACAGTGAAGATGACTTGGATTTCTAACTGTGGCCTCAGGTGCCATGAGGACACATCCCCCAGAGCACCTGCAGCCAAACCAGCACATTTTGGCACTCCCTAAAATCCTCAGCAGGCTAAAGGGACTGACCAGCACATGTAGGCAGAGGTAAAACTGAGCACAGCTCCCCTGAGTAGAGGTGTAATAACACTACCAACTCCTCTCCTAATACCTTATTCTTGCACAAATCTTCTCTCCCAAACCCTTCCCTTGCTCCCCCAACCTCTCACTCCTCTCTCCTCCCAACCACTTAATTCTTTCCACCCTGAACTTTGAATTAAAGGAGTTAGTGACAGGATTAACTGCTTAGTCTATCTGGTAATTACACAGTTATCTTAATTCCCTTTGTCCAGTTCCCTTTATCTCTCTCTTTAACAGGTCCTGAATTTACCACGGACAAAGAGAGGCATAATGGATCACTGCATGCTCTGCAGCAGCTCGTGTAATGGGATTCCAGCCCTGAAATGAGCCCTGGGATGAGCTAAACTCTGCAAACCAGAGCTGAATGCCTAACAGATCTGAGCCAGCGTCAGCTTGGGGTGGAGAATCAGCACCTTGGGACCTGCACATCTCTCCCACCACAACACAGCCATCACAGCCAGCCCTGGGCAGCACTCGAGGGGCCAAAGGCAGCTCAGGCACAGCTCTAACACTGCCAACTCACTTGAAGAGAGGGTTCTTGGGCCGCTGGGGTTTCTTCCTGGCGAAGAAGGCGGCAAATTCCCTGCCAGAGCTGGCGTAGCTCAGCTGGGCCGAGGGCTCCGAGGCTGTACGGGTGTTCTTCATGTCCAGGTACTCTGTCAGCAGCATCTGCAACAGCAGGGAGAAAGAGAGCTCAGCACCTGGCAAGGGACAGCACCAGAATTCTGCTGGCATGGCTGCGGTTTAATGGTGCTCTGGAAGGAAAAGTAACAGAACTTGGAAAAGTTCTAAGGAATGGAAACCTGGATTTACTCTCAGATCCTAAGGAGTTGCATCCACTGGATCCCTCTGGCTAAAGTTTGTTTTAGACTGCTTAGAATAACAGAAGAGTTTGGGTTGGAAGGACCTTAAAGATCATCTGTCCCACCTCCTGCCATGGGCAGGGAGATCTTACACATCCATGTTGCTGCATGGCCTGGAACATTTCCAGGGACAGGAGAACCACAGAATCAATCAGGTTGGAAAAGACTTCTGAGATCATCAAGTCCAACCCATGACCTAACACCACCATGGCAACCAGACCCCGGCACTGAGTGCCACATCCAGTCTGTCCTTGAACACCTTGGATTGGACTACTGACCAATTCCATCTGCACCAAACCCTTGATGGTACCAAAAGTGATTTGCAAGAAGCTCTTGTTCTTCCCCGAAATGATTCTATCCATGACAGCCACAGGGAGACAGTTGGTGGGTTTAGGTGGCATTTACACACTGAACATATATATGTACATTTATATATCTAATGGATGCTCTAAAACACAAAGCTGAGCGACAGTGAGCTGTGTAGGTACAAAATCAGGTTTCAGAAATGCTTAAATAGTTCCTACACATCATCCCTGTGTGTGTTGGGGTCACATGTGTTGGAAAACAGCTTGGGAAACCTGCAAAAATTGCCCTTTAACAGCTCCCAAACCAAAAGAACTTCTTTTATCCTGGAAAACATGAATTCCCACAGCTGCCAGTGCAGCACAGGATGGATTTTCCCCTAGTCCAGTGCCCTCAGGGAGGGGTTGGAGCTCTCTCTGAGTGAGGGCTCCCTCTGTGAACCCTTTGCAGCCTGACATGGGATGCTATTTAAGCAGCTGCACAGTGCAGAAGTAAAAACAGATCCCAAGTTATTCCCTTTCCATTTCCTCTTGTCTGAAGATGAAAAGAAACCCCTGAAAAATTAACTTGTGTCAGTGCATGCAGAAAATCACTATTTGTTTTCAGGAAATTCTACCTGCTCAGAGGCTCTTAGGAATGTGTTGCACGTGAATCATTAGCCCATCAAAGAGAGTTGGATGTAATGAAAGGAATTCATCACTCCTGGGCTAAGATGAACCAAATTACATAGGAATAAATATGTAGGCAAATGGAATCATGGCCCTAATTACATACATTTCAGGATAGCTTGGGAAAAATAAATAAATAATCCAAACTCAAAGACAATTCAACTCCTAAAACATCTCAATTAAAAGTTTACCTAAGAACAAGCTTTGAAAATTTCATGTTTATTGGGCAAAAATAATCACTAGGCTCATTTTTAACACTAATTTACCAAATCCATTTGTATTTGTGGATTTGCATTTCATCTTCTCCACTTAAATTAACAACCCTAAAATCACTACAAAAAAATCTAATTAAAGCCTCAAAATTAATCAAGTTTAAAAAAAATAAAAGAGAAAACCATTTAGCAATTTGTTCTTCCATTAGAGATGAAACCTATTTATAATGGATTCCACAACTCTCGTGTCACTTTTCATCCAGGACTAGGCAACGTTTGGCTCTAAGACTGCGACAAGCCAACAGAGGTTTGAGCTGGGACCAGAATGAACCGTCCCTGCTGGTTAGACAGGAGAGAAACAGAGTTCATAGACTCCCAGACTGGTTTGGGATGGAAGGGACCTTAAAGATACCCAGTCCCACCCCTGCCATGGGCAGGGACACCTCCCCATAGCCCAGGTGGCTCCAAGCCCCATCCAACCTGGCCTGGAACACTCCCAGGGATGGGGAGTTCATCTCTAAGCCATAAATGTTAAGCACAGCAAAACCTGTGCCAGACAGCTCAAAGCTCTTTCTGCTCCAGGGTCATGTGTTCAACAGTTCCACAAATTCTTCAGGATGAAACAATTAAGTACACAGCCAAGGGGGACAGGAGAGCTCTTCAGCAAGAGGCTTCAGGGAGACCTCAGCGCCCCTTCCAGTACCTCAAGGGGCTCC